ACTGGGGGTTGATTTGAATTTTTGATTAGACCATCTTTGATAATGGTCTTCAATACAATACCATGCCTTTCCTTAACGCATATCTGTTGCAAAAGCTGAACTTTCCTTAGTGCCTTGCCAAAGCTGAACTTTCACCATTTTCATCATCATAGTGAGTGTCGACTCAAAACTATTTAATTACTTCCACACTACTGTTCATTTAGCTCATAAAATTCATACAAATTACCCAGCCAGAATATAATTTACATTGCTGGAATTCTTATAATTTGGTGATCATTTTGAATATAAACAACATATATTTTGCATTAAACATACAATTTTTAGATAAAAATATTTCTCTAGGTAACTATGTTATCTTTTGTGCAAAATATATGACATTTATATTCAAAATATTCCTGGTCTTACAAGGAATCCAGCAATGTCAATTATATTATCCTAACTTTAGTTTGAGGTATTATTTATTAAAATTTAGTGGTTATCCCACACATCTCCTTGGGACGGTTGGTGGGGGGTGGGGGGAGGGAGGGACCGACCGACCATCTGTTACCCCGTGAAGAATTATTATTTTTTTTATTAACTGAAGATATTTGTTTTAGCTCATAAAATTCATACAAATTACCCGGTCAGAATATAATTTACATTGCTGGAATTCTTATAATTTGTTGATCATTTTGAATATAAACAACATATATTTTGCATTAAACATACAATTTTTAGATAAAAATTGTTCTCTAGGTAATTTTGTTATCTTTTGTCCAAAATATATGACATTTATATTCAAAATATTCCTGGTCTTACAAGGAATCCAGCAATGTCAATTATATTATCCTAACTTTAATCTGAGGTATTATTTAATACTAAATGTTAAAAACTCTTGAATGGAGGATTGGTGGGGGGTGGGGGGAGGGTTGGGACTGACCACGCGGTTGGAAGAGGGGGGGAAGGCAAGGTGGGGTACTTTGATTGACAGATAGTGTCGAAGAATATATTTTTTTTTTATTAACTGAAGATATTTATTTTAGCTCATAAAATTCATACAAATTACCCAGCCAGAATATAATTTACATTGCTGGAATTCTTATAATTTGGTGATCATTTTGAATATAAACAACATATATTTTGCATTAAACATACAATTTTTAGATAAAAATTGTTCTCTAGGTAATTATGTTATCTTTTGTGAAAAATATATGACATTTATATTCAAAATATTCCTGGTCTTACAAGGAATCCAGCAATGTCAATTATATTATCCTAACTTTAGTTTGAGGAATTATTTATTACTATACCTGGTTTTCCCCCAAAAATTTCTCAGAGGGAAGAGCCAGTGAGTGTAGTGTGAGAAGAGGGGGAGGGAGTTGAGTCCATTATTTGAATGGACATTAACTTGGCGACTGTATTTCTCTATTTCTCTTAAGTATTAATTGTGTGCATGTACCATCATAAAATTAAGATGTTATTTTTACTATAACATAGTTATTTGTCGTCAAAAAGTGGAGTTTGGGGGTCGGGCTGGGTTCTATTGGAATTAATCCCATATGTTCTGTTATTCACTTAACGCGGTTTTCACTTAACGCGGGACCTCTGGATTCAATTGACCCGCGTTAAGTGGGGTATAACTGTAGTTAAAAAGAGGTGTAAGAATAAAATTTTCAGATACCAAACTTTCAGATAATGAAGGATACCTGTACTCTGGTCTATACTGTATTTTGACATAAAAGTACAAAACTGTGTCTGGCAGAGGCTTGGGAAGTATTACAATGTACTTTACTTGATTGAATGCCTGAAGTGTACCATGACTTTTATTACAGTGTACAGCACTGCACATTAGTTGTTATTGTTTTGTTATTATTTATGAATTCTTCTGGTCTATCAACATGTATCTTATATACAGTACTTGGTTTTGATATATACTGTATGTTTGAAAGTTGACCTAAGGGACTACTTAACCTTTTGAGTGTGATGAATCAACTCCCTGACTTATCTACTCAGGGGGTTAAGTAATCTTACTCAAGGGGTTAAGGCATCTTACTCAAAGGGTTAAGTTGTCTTACTCAAGGGGGATTAAGTAATTTTACTTAAGGGATTAAGGCATCGTACTCAAGGGGTTAAGGCATAGATCTCAGGGGGTTGGTACTGTACTGTACTCATGGGGCTAATTTTCACCATCAGGTCGTCAGTAACTGTTGAGGCCTCAGATGGGTACAAAGGTAGTCGAAAATATGACATTCTTAAGGAGAGCAAACAGTCGGACTTAGAAGCCGGCCCCTTACCCTCTGTACCCTCACCGCCTGTAGTGGCCGACAAGACCAAAGAACTTGGTAAGTTTAACCTTTTCATTTTGTTATGCTGTTTAAACTTTGATTATGGGAGTTTTGTAGTTCCATAATGTATATTGATAATACTCAACTTGGTGTTATGAATCACATTGAAGTGTTAATGAATCATTTCGTGAATCACCTTAAAATGTTATGAACCAAATGGTTTTATCCTCTTGTGGTGTTCCTTAAGCCTCATGACACAGTGCTCTAATAGGAGAGGAGTTACAGTAAACAGATATTGTATGTGGTACTTCCTCGTTACACATAAGAGTTTCCTTCCAGACATTGCTCAAGTCCTGGTAATTTCATGTAGTCTGGGAGGGTATGTGATGGCATGATCAGCCTTGCACACACTACTTACACAACCACCATGTTTTAGTGCATTATTACGACACAGTCTTCCTAAAAACATTCATACAAAATAATTTAAATGTACAAGAGCCAGATGTCATTGGCAGCTAAATTAAGCGAGCACAATAATTCTTAAGCACATCAAGACTTCAACAACAGCAACATATAAAATATACAATGACCAAAATGAAAACACTCAACAGGAAACTTATAACCCAATTTTAGATCAGTAAGAAATTCACCACTAATGTTTGACGGTTTAGTTTACAAAAATGTGATTTACTCATGAAGGCAACATCTTCCATTTTCAAGATCATGAGGGTAAGTAAAGGGCTCCCGTAGGCCAATATTTGAGGTGTGAGTTTGTTGGTTGATTGATCACAGTGCTGCCAATATTGTTTTTCTTATGAATGTACATATTTATGAACTGTACATACAAATTAAGACACTTTACCCTACTTTTTTTTCACGGTCTGGGCCCCCCAAAGGCTCAGGCCCTAGGGACTTTGTCCCTCCTTCTCCTTGTACTACATACATACATACATACATACATACATACATACATACATACATACATGTACTTGCTAAATACTTGTGTTTTGGGGACAGGTTTGATTTCGGGAGAAAGGACACCATTTGTTGTGTTTGGTTTGGCAAAGATTCAACGAACGAAGCTGCTGGCAACACTGAGTGGACTGAAGCTGGAGGCTGAGATGAATGCTGTTCACTCTTCACTAACCTTCAGGTGGGTGAGAGAGGCACCTGTCTAGCACCAGTCACCTGTGTCTCTCACTATCTTTCTCATGCTGAACCATTTGAGCAGTAAGAGATATTACCTCACTAGTTTTGTAGGCCAAAAGTGGGAGGTACATAATATGACCTTTCTGTTATTTCCACTACAATTAAAAGAAAAAAACTGGTTGAATTGGTGTCTGCTGTGAATGGTACAGTGTGAGGGGGGAAGGAAGGGTGTTCCCTCACTCTCTCTTTCTCCCTCATGAAGATCACTCAGCATCTAACTGAAATTAACTCTTACATTTTATTAATACCTGATTATTGATTTTATGTTTTATAAGTGTTTTCTGCAACATAATATGGCTAAACTTATAGATATATATATATATATATATATATATATATATATATATATATATATATATATATATATATATATATATATATATATATATATATATATATATATATATATATATATATATATATATATATATATATATATATATATATATATATATATATATACAGTGAGTTCTGCTATAACGCGTGTTTTGATAACGCGAATTTGCTCTAACGCGATTTATGAATTAGGAACGATATTTGTATAACGCGAACGCTTGTTTGCTATAACGCGATTTTTGCTTACTATTTCTCCAATTTTGTGGTACAGTGGGGTATGCTATAACGAATCTAATTGGTTCTAGAACCTTGTTCATTATAGCATTCGTTCGTTATAGGATTAATCCGTTCCAGGCCCCCAAATACAACCACTTAACACTGAAAAATATAATATAAAATTGTAAAGATTTTAAAAAAGTGCATAAATATGCATCTAAACCCCTGAAATAAAGAATATCATTAATATTTGTAATAAAAAAACAATAAATTAGAAAAAAATAAAAAAAATAAAATAATGTTCGTTGTAGGAGTTTTGTTCGTTATAGCATTCTCAATTTTATAGGTAAAACCATTCGTTATAGGAACATTCGTAGTAGGATCCGTTCGTTATAGCATACCCCACTGTATTAACTGTGAATATAGTAAAGAAGAATATCAACAAGAAGCGTTCTGGTGATAGAATTCCCGGTGATGATCGTAAAAGAAAGGATATAACACTTGAAGAGAAGCTCGATTTTATCAACCTCAAAATCACCCTTCTCCCCCATCAAGTAAAGTGTTACATTTACTGTATGATTTCATTATTAGTTATTAATGTAACATTTATTTAGACTGTGCTATCCTTTGTGTTAGGCTAACTACTAAATTTTTTCGATTTCGAGTAATCTGCACCTAACCCTATTTTCTCCATAAGCCCTGTTATTTCTATTACGCGATTTTCTATAACACGATATTTTACAAGAACACAATTATCGCGTTATAGCAGAACTTGTATGTATATATATATATATATATATATATATATATATATATATATATATATATATATACTATAACCGCTTTTACGCGGTCCCACTTTTTACACGTTTCCACGCTACGCTGCACTTCGCAAACCGAATGCTCACTTTCCGCGGTGTGTGTACCCTTTTTACGGAGAGCAGCGCGAGCAGGTGCGGACAAGGTCACCTAGTCATCAAAACATTACCGAAGTTCTTCACCGCCACTCACCACAGCCAGTCAGTGATAGTGATAATGATAGTGAGGATATGGACTTATATGGACTTTGAGGGTTTGACAAAGAGGCCCTGCAACCCTCTGTGGTGATAGTGATACAATTGATGCAGTGATACAGGTGAGGCCAATAATCTGCCCTCTGCCTCGAACCAACCCCCATCCCTGTGTGCCCAGCCATCTTTTCTACTAATGTAAGTGTTAAAAAACCTAATATTATTGATATTTCTTAATTATTAATTGTGTGTGCATACCATCATAAAATTAAGAAGTTATTTTTCTACAACGAGGTATTGTGTCTAAAAAAGGAGTTTGGGGGTCGGCCCGGTCTCTATTTCAATTAATCCCATATGTTATGTTGTTCACTTTGACTGCTTTCTCACTTTTACGCGGTACCCTGTGGTTGTATTAACCAATAGTGAGGTTGACTATATATATATATATATAATATATATATATATATATATATATATATATATATATATATATATATATATATATATATAACCGATCGGAATTTACTGGACTTTAATCTCA